TTACTACATCCCAGGTATTAAAACATTCAATTCTCACAACAATCCCATGAAATAGGTATCAATATTATCCCTAGTTTATAAATAGGGAACCAGTTCTCACATCGAGAAACAACACTGCTAGCCCCCTGCAAGCACACCCCCCCCCCGCGTCCTCTTTCTGTCATTAACCATCTCCCCAAGGACATGGAGAAGCCAAAATCATGAATATGATGAATGTAAGCCAAAATCACAGATGAGCTTTGCCAATTTTGAAATTAAAAAAAAATATGGAATCGTGCAGTATACATTCTTTGGTGTCTGGCTTCATTAACTCAACATAATGCTTATGAGAATAATCCGTGTTGTTCAATGTACTCAAAGACTGTTCATTGTCGTTGCTCTAGAGTACTCCATGCACACGTATCATGGTTTATTTATCCATCCTGATATTGATAGACATTTGGGTTGTTTCCACTTGAGGGTCATTAAGAACAGTATTGATGTGAGCATTCTCGTGCCCCCTTTTGATGCATGTCTACATGTATTTCTGTTGGGTCGATACCCAGTAAGATTTGATGGCAAATTTGTGTGACTCTTGCCATGACTCTCCACCACCTTCCTCCACCATCCCATTCGTTCTCTTTGCATTATACTCAATAAAGGTTCTCCTTCATTAAACGGATCCAACCTCACCATCTTTCCTGAAAATGCTTTATAATCAGGCTCTTTGAACCATTTATCTGAGCATTTTTTTTCTTTGTGTTAAAGGGAATACACAAGCAGCATAAGGCACAGTCTTTGCCCTCAAAGAGTCGTTTTCTAGTTGCAAATGACTAGTACTTATAAAATAATTCAAGAGCTGACCTGCATGGGACCGACTTTAAGTACTAAGTACCTGGATGGTCAGAGAGAAAGATCAGTGAGGTGGGTCTGAATGGGCCTGAACTGACTCCTACAGAAAGCAGGCATGAAACTAACCAACCAAAATGACTTGGGTTTTGCTTTTGAGCTGGTTTTTACCATTGTTTCAACATATCTCAACACCTAAACTCTCTCTCTCTTTCCTTCTACTGTTCCACAGAAGGGCCTTCCTTATTCCCAGACACCAACTTGAATTATTGTTCTTGTTCTCTGTTTGTTTTCCATTTCAAGGGAGAGTGGGGATTGGTTGCTATAGCAACAGCTGTGTCTCCAAATTAATCCTGAATTTCATCAGATGCTCAGTTTGACAGTCCAGCTCTGCCTTCTGGGTAATTAGCAGGGCTTTCACAACCACGTTAATTACCCAACTCCTAACGATTCCCTCCTGCTGCCCTCGAGGTTAATAACACAACTTGTATAACTTGAGAAAATGTGTGTTATAAAAACAATGCTCTGGCCTGGGAGGAATGCTGATGAGTGAGGAGATCTTGGCATTTTAACCATCCCCTGGCCATGTCAGAGCCAAATACATTAGGCCATTTAGGAAGGAAGTGGCCTTGGGGGGATCAACCTACAGGATGCTCCGTGAAGACCTGGTTATGAACAATGGCAGGTATCTTTCTGGTTTACATGTAACCTCGGGCAGGTGGGGGCGTTAAACAAAAAGGCCAAGGGCCTAGGAGTGGACCAGTCAGAATTCCCTTCAGGCCTTTGCCTTCTACCAGCTCCAGCTCCTAAATGAGGTCCAGGACGTTGCCATCCCTTCCACAGTGCTGCCTCCGCATGCAGCAGCCTTTTTATTACTTTCCCAAAACCCCAGGCAGAAGTAGCTTTCCACTCCTAAGCCATGCTCTTTTACTAAAGGTCAGTAGGATCTTCACAGACGTAGCTAATTTTTCATGTCAGGAATGGAGTGATCTTTCCTTGGAAAGAACTGTCTGCAAACTAATCAGGTCATTTAGTCAATACAAGATTCATTCTTCAAAAAATCCTCCCCAGAACATTTTATACCCCTCATGGGGGCTCACAACTTCACTAAACGGTCCTCTGATGCCCAGAGTTGGAAAACCCGTGGCAGTAAGAGCGAGAAAACTAAACTGGACTGGCAGCTCCCCCATCATCCACGAACTGGTCAGAGTTGAGTCAGCGTGTTTCCTGGTTTGGACAACGAAAGGCTTTTTAAGTTCACTCATTGTCTTTTCTTGAACCAAAACTCTGGATGTTGGCTGGCGTGCTCAAGGAGAACCACAGCCAGCCAGGCCACCCACTGCCAGCCGTGGACTTCGCAGAAGGCAGAAGAGATGGTAAGAAGGCAAAGACGCTGCCTGCAGAAGAGGGGGTGCAGAAGGCTGGCCAAGAGCCGTTCGTTCCTGCCAAGATTATCAGTGCTACTTGGGGGCCCACTGTCAAATCCTAGGAAGGTAGGGGACATGGCCAGGATAGAGAAAGGAGTCGAGTGGCAGAAGGGACTCATGCTGGGGGGCATGTCCCTGGAACCACACAGGGCCCTACAGTGGAAATAACGGGCTCCAATGGCCAGCAACACACCTCACCACACACACGCCCCTGCCTATCTCCCTGCCATTCCCTCTACCGCTCCGCCTCAGCCTCTCTCGCTCGCTCGCTCTCTCTCTCTCTCTCTCTCTCACACACACACACACACACACACACACACACAATCCTGACTCTGACAGAGCCCCGGCAATTGATCAGAACCTCTCACAACCACCCCAAGCTGAAGCAAGGGCTCTTGTGCTTGGGACAGAGAACTCCTGAGAAAAGCATGCTCCTCTAGTTCTGGCAGTGATGGGGCAGGATCCTTCCATGAAGATAGCCTTAGTCTTCCATGCCTGGAAACGCCAGCAGAGGTTTTTTTTCCTCTGGGGACTCATCACACCAGGGTTTTGGAAAAGCCAGGCCTGGGGTTATCACACTTCTGGCTCTAGCCACTGCCTGACCCCCCACGTATGGCCAGCTCGGCCACTCTGAGGAGTATCTCTCCAGCTCTAAATTCCAGTCTGCCTCACGGGGCAACACAGCGCAGCGCAGTAGTTAAGAGCCCGACTCCTAGAGCCAGGTGACCTGGGTTCAAATCCAGGCTGCTCTACTACTTACCAGCTGGGTGACCTTGACAAGTTACTTAGCCTTTCTGTGCCTCAGTTTCTCCACTGGTTAACATGAAGCCTCTACCTTATGTCCTCTTTGTGAGGATTATCACAGCATGCGGCAGCAGGTGTAAGCATAAATATTAACTGCTACTCTCAGGCAGCGAGTCTTAGTTTAAGAAGGAACAAATGAAGACGTGCCTGGATCAGATCCACGGTTATGGATAGGACAGGTACTGGCAGAATCCACACCTGAGATTGTATTTGTGCCCTTGAGGTGTGCGTGTGTGATGGGATAGAGGTGGGGAAATGGCAGAGATAGGGAACTGACACTCAGAGACATCAAAGGACTCAAGGGGCCCAGAGCAGAGGCTGGGGTGCAGACAAGCTCTCTATACATCCATTCTGCAGCCCCGAGTGCTGTTCCAAAGCATGGATGTCTGTCTCTGGGTTGTACCTGCCAGGTGAGCCCACTGTCAGAAGTCATGATGAGGAAGGGGAAGGACACATTTCTCAAATCAGGAAATCCCAGGCTCTGCAGGTTAGAAGTCACCTCCAACCCCCCTTTCAATATCCAAATCCTCTCTGTTGTGAGTGGTCTTTGTGGAGGGTCCTCTTCTGTGTTCTGTGAACTTCCTAAATGCATGCTGTGGACCATATAAGCAAATTAAGAGAACCATCCCAGTTGGCTTCAAAAGACCTTACAGCAAAGGGCAATACAGTCTCTCTTTTTTTCCTTTAAAACTCAGAGGCCAGCACAAGTGCTGTTATTTAAGGCACTAGCAAGTACTGAATTCCAGGAAGCCCAGGAGGGAGAGGCAGGAGAGCCAGGGAGTAGCGTTAGTTTGTAGTTGTTTTATTTCTAATCTCCAGCCTCTAGAAAAATGACTTGGGTGTAATCAAATGAAAACAATGAAAATAATACCCTTGAAGGTCAAATAGCTAACTTAATAGGAAACTCATCAGAAACGTGGTTGGACAGACTCACAGCTGAAGGGCTCGTCCAAATGACTAAAAGTGGAGAAACCTCTCTGGTGCTCCGTTATTAACAAGGGCGAGTCCTTAATTTGGACCCAGTCTGCAGGGACTTCGCGTGGAACTTGTGAATCTGGCAGCAGAGGGAGTGTGTTAAAATGCTCAGCAATTCGCCACGGGTTCAAAAGAGTAAACACAAGCATAATACACCCCTTTGCCAAGTTCAACAAACTGCTTCATGGGGCTCTGAGTCCCTGATGAGGGCAGCGACCAAATGCTAACTAAGTAAACCCAAGCCCAAAGGTATCTCTCACTGCTCACTGGTGACGGCTGCCAGACACACGTTCTTCTCTGGAATTCATTGATGACAAATGATTGGAGCAAGACAAGTTTCCAGAGCAAGGCTTATTTCCTCTTGGTCGCAAGATTAGGGCCACATTTCTCAGGCTGGCCAATTAAATTGGAGCCCTTGGGGGGCACGGCCCAGGCATCAGCATTTTTTGCAAACTCCTCATGAGATTCTACTGCACATCTAGCATTCAGAATCACTGATCTAGGCAACCTGGCCTCAATCTTCTCTCCTACCACTTCCCAACAGGAGTTTCTACTCCAGCCAGAAAGGACATCTCACTGATCCCTAAACGTCGCATCCAGAATAATCGATACCATTTATTAGCATGTCTCTGGCACCGTGTGTAACAATTTTATTCATTAGCTCATTTAATCCCGCAACGTTATCTATAAAGTAGCTAGCTACTGCCCCATTTTATAGATAAGGAAACTGAGCTTCAGAGAGCTTAATCACTAGCCCAAGGTCACACAGTAGCAACTGGCAGAGCAATTGGCTCACACAAACCTAAGCCTTTTTGGACAATAAACATATTCTCACCTTACTAGAATAGTACCTGGAACATGAGTATTCAATAAATTTTTGTAAAACAAATGAATGACTGAATGAATGCATGACTAAAAAAGCAAATGAATGAATGAGAACAGTAGGTAATATTAATGACCACTGACCTTGTTAGAATAATTCAGCCATTCTCTGTCTTCAAAAGAGCCTACATCAGGGCACGCTTGCAAGTCTTCCTGCCTGAGAACCCTGGGTTAGCACAGCTGAGCCTGAGAAGGGAGCTGTGAACTGCTTCCACTGTAGGTATTTGTGAATAATTGATGTGAGAAATGCAGCCCTGCTTTGCTTTCTCTAATACAGTGGGGTTCTCAAACTGGAGGGCATCAGAGTCACCCTGAAGGCTCGTTATTACACAGTTTGCTGGGAGCCATGTCCAGCAGGTCTGGGGCAGGACCCAGCTGACACCAATCACATGCATCATTAGGCAGCTTGGCAGGGTCCTGCCATTCCCAAGGGTCATTTTCCAGGAGCCGGAGACACAGCAGCCACACTCTGTGACTCCAGGACCTCCGCTGGATTCCGTGGAAACATCCTGCAAAAGCCCCTGGCCACAGCTAGGAGGGCCTGCAGTGCACGATACGGGCTGCGGGCTCTTCCACAGACCCCAACCCTGGGTGTTTCCTCTGCTCCTCTGGACTTTTAGAGCAGTGATTTTCACCAGGAGGCAAGAGTGACATCCCCTTCCCGAAAGATCAAAATTTCAGGAGGCACAGGTAGCTTGAAAACGCTTCCAGTAATGCAATTTCTAAGAGGATGAGAGTAGCTTTTAACTGACAGTGAACTCATCCGAAGTGTTTTCATGGGAGGAATTCAGAGAATATTTGAGAACACAAACTCCTTTATGTCTTCTCACTGGCAGCAGGTTGAAGGCTCACAGGGCGGGGGCATGAGATTCACACACTTATCAAAGGAGGCATGTTTTTGTCTATTTTGGTTCCTTCTTTTTTTTTTAAAGTTTGAGAGATTCTTTCAACAGATGAGAGATCACAGCTAACAAATGCCAGAGACGCTTCCTACTCCGTCCCAGAAAGCCAGGATCGCCCTTACCTAAAATAGGAGAAGTGATGAAAGAGCTGGCCAATTCTAGCAGGTCACACTGCAAAGGGCCAATAAAGAGATGTAATCTTGTCTGGCCAGAAGGAGGGATTTCCAGAAACCAAAACCAAGGGCATGAAAGTGAAGGCACAGGCCGAATCTCCCCCACCTCCCACACCTTTTGAATTTTACATGCCGGACTGTGACCAGATGGGATGAGAAAGATGTTCGTTCTCAGTGGTTTTGTAGATTGGGTCTTCTAGGCTTTCAAAGGGGAAATGAGAGTGAGACAGCGTGCCTTTGATGTTTGAACTCCCGGTCCTGAAATCAGAACCTCGGGCAAAAACTGTTTTTATCTCTTCCATCCTAGGCAACCAAGTAGAAAGCTCTGGCGGGCACTTCCTTTTCAGCTGTTTTTTCCATATTGTCAATTACCTCCCCGCTGAGAGAATGGAATTCCTTTGACTCTAGACAGGGGTCCATGTTGGAGATGGTGCCAGAGATTTCTTTCTTTTCTCTCGATGAGGTTACCCTTAGCATCACACACTAGAAAGTGTCTGTCCATCCTCTTTTATTTACTTAGCATTAGAAGCCAGTTATGGTTTGTGTTTATACACAGTTGACAAATTTGAGGGTTAATCACCTTCACCCACAGGTCAATAGGAGAGCTAACCCCAGGGGCTGGCTGGAGAAAGACACATTTGAAAGGAATTATTTTTGAGGTTTGGTGAATCACAGAGTTGCTTCAGTCACAGATTCTATGGGCCTGCAGGAATTGAGAATTTTGTATAAATAACTTAACACTTTCATACTGTAGAAAACATTTGACCTATGAGTTTACCAGATCTGGGCCCCAACCTGAGATACTGGCAGAAATATTTTCTAAAATACCTACAAAGGTGGGACTTAATCCTCTGAGATATATAAGACAGTGTAACCTCTGCGAAGGCTAGGAATTCTCTGTATCACAGGGTCGAGGACAACTAGAGATCTTTCCTCCAACTAGAGATGGCTGCAGACCACCAACTGACCTGGTTAGTATCAGCAACACTGGCTTCAACTCTCGGATCCACCACTTATTAGCTGGTGCCAACTTGGAAAACAGAGCTTGCCTCTAAGCTAAATTTTCCTTGCCACAAAACAGGGATGTTAAGAGTTCATATTTCACACACGCAAGGATTGAGATAATACAGGCACACCTCCTAGCACAGGGTAAACACGCACTCCTAGCTACTATCAGTGCTATTTTAAAGTACAAATCGAAAAACGCTACTTCTTCCTCAAAACTTTCCAGCGGTTTCCCAGTATTCCCAGTGTAGAATCCACACTCCTTCCACTAGCCAGCGTGGTCCACGTCTGGCCCTCCCCTGCCACCCTCCTCGCTGCTGCCTCAGCCTCACAGGTCCTGTCACTTCTACCCACGCACCCCCCTCCCCTCCTCTGAGCGTGTGCACATGCTGTTCCTTTTGCCTGGAATGCCCAGGTCACTGAAGGGCTTAGTCTCGGTTTCATTCAGGTCTCAGCTCAAAAATCACTTACTAAAAAATCACTCGGCTCAAAACTCAGTCGGAAGGCCTTCCCTCTCCTGGAATGTCAGCTCCGAGACAAACAGGAGCTTGTTTCATTTGCCCTTATGTTCCCAGTGCTAGAATAGGGCCTGGCACATAGTAGGCACTTAATTAACATTTCTCTTTTAACAGATGAATTACTTTTTCTCTGGAACTAGTATGTCAATGTCAACAGTTAGTACAGTCCGAGATGATGCCTCCCCCTCATGAATACCTGAAGTTCCTAAACACACAGAGTCAGGTACGTCATTGCTTTGTCATATTGCTGCTGTGTGTTTGTTTCTTAGCCATAAAGGTCTTCGTTCAAGAAGAAACTGTAAAGTTCTTAAATAGCTTCTATTCACTTGGCTAGTATCCCAATGGCCACGTAGGGTCCCACGGCATCGATTTCTCACTAAGCAAATTAATGCATTTCGGCACTGAGCTGAGGCTCTTCATGGCCTGTCGACCAGTCAGCTTCCAGAGAGAAGGGTCCCCTCTCTGTACTGCCAGACTCAGGTCCCAACACCACTGCTGCCACTATCCTTGTCCCGCTCTGCCATCCCACGCCCCAGGGTTGCAGCAGGGGCAGGCAAGATCAGGACAGAAGAGGCCAGGCTGGGGTGGGCTGCAGAGCCAGGGAAACAAGGCACAAGATCAGAAACACAGGGCCAAGGCCTGGCAGAGGGAAAAAGACAAATGGAGTCAGGAGACCTGTGTGTCAGGGCCCCCAACTAGCTGTGACACCCGGTGTGATGAGCCAAATTGTGTCCCCACAAAAAAAAAAAAACCTCATGTGTTGAAGCCTTAATTCCAGGTGCCTCCGAATGTGACCCTATTTGGAGACAGGGTCTTTACAGAGATAACTGAGTTAAAATGAGGTGCTTAGTGTGGGCCCCAATCCAATATGACTGGTGTCCTTCAGAGAAGAGGAAATCTGGACACAGACATACAAAGCAGGAAGACGATATGAAGAAACAGCAAGAAGACGGCCATCTGCAGGCCAAGAAGAGAGGCCTGGAACACATCCTTCCCTCACAGCCCTCAGAAGAAACAGACCCAGCTGTTCCCTTGCTCTCGTACTTCCAGCCTCCAGAACTGTGAGAAAATACATTTCTGTTGCCTAAGCCACCATTCTGTGGTACTCTGTAATGGTAGCCCTAGCAAACTAATACGCCCAGCAAATCAGTAATTTTCCAGAGCCTCAGTCTCCACAACTGCAGAATGGGACCACCTGGCCTGCCCACCTCACTCGTTCGCTGTGGGGATCCAATGAGACTAGATGTGGAGACCTCGATAAAGTAGAAGGAGTTCTACCGATGACATTTCTAACTGTGCTCTCAGAGCTGGGTCTTAGGGTCCTGCTGGGACCCGGGGAGTGTGGGGTGCCAGTTTGAGGTGTAAGAGCTGGAAGAGAGCCTTTGCACTCTCCCGCTAAACCCCAGGGAAGGGAAGAGAGCTGCCCTCCTCCACAGTTATGTAGTGGATGTGGGAGAAACAGAACTTGCGTGGGAGGAGGGAAAGGGAAAAGAACAGAAACCAGAGAGCTCTAAGAAATTAAAAGAAATAAAGGCCACATGTAAGTCCCTGGGTGTTTTCTGGATAAAAACAATACCTTTTCTTTGTATGGTACTCTGCAGGTCACAAAACACTGGCAGGCAGTGGGTTCTCTTTAACCAGTCTGAGGTCAAGAATGCCTTTGAGAGTCTGATGAAAGCGACGCACCCTCTCTTCAGAAAAAAGTCACTCATGCACATAACGCACAAAACATTACACAGCAGCACTGTCCAGTAGAACTTTCTACGTGGATGAAAATGTTCTGTGTCTACACTGTCCAATATGGTAGCCACTGAGCACTTGAAATGTGGTTCATGTGATCGAGGAACTCAATTTTTAATTTTTTTTTCTATTTTAATTAATTTTAGTTTAAATATCCACTGGGGCTAGAGGCTTCTATATTGGACGGTGTAGTTATAGACTATTCCAGGGGATTCACAGGCCCTGCAAGGTCCCTCATGAAATGCTCTTACAGGAACTACTTGTGATGATTACAGTGTCCTCATAATAATCATCCTCTCTGAGCTTACCAGGTGCGTGTATCCTGCCATTTTATCCTCCTGACAACCCCATGAGAAGGGTAGAACGGTCATCCCCATTTACAGGTGCAGTTACTGCGGCACTGAGAGGTCCGCCATCTTGCCCACAGCCTCACATCCGGACCACAGCGAAGGCTTTGAGTCTGAACTCAAGCTCTTTCCTGACTCCCTAAAACCTGCTCTAAGGGTTTTACGAATTGAGGCCCAAGCTCTCTCCTGAGGCCCTGACAGAAATTCCCAATCACCAAAAGAACTTTAACTCGCACTCATACCCATCTCTAAAGTGATAAGCAAAAGCTCCCTCTTCTTCTTGAAGCCTCCAGCAGGGTCTGTGCTGAGGCCAACCAGACCCTGAAAATAAAATGTTCTTCCATTAAGGTTCCCTTTGGCAGGAGATGGTTTCCTCTTTCCCATTCGTCCTGTCTGATCCCCAAGGCCAAAGAGGGCGTGAGGCTGGGGAAGCAGGCAGGTTTCTCCTCGCCAGACCTCGGCTACCACAGACCGCCTCCCAGACAAAGGACCCGGAAACTTCAAGCTGGGAATAAACTCCCTCCGCCCTCCTGAGGAAGAAACAAGGCTTCTGCTCTAAGCCAAGGAACCCAAAACACAACAGTGCCCACGGAGCACGGGACCCACACGGGTCCACACCGTACAAGTCGTCCCTCACGTGGCCTTCAGGTTTCTATGGTAACCAGGCCACATGGAACAAGAAAACCTAAGAATTTAATAAAACTCACTTACACCTGCACTTTGCATCTCTATTCACTTCTAGAAATTCCCCTCATTCACATATGCAGATTTTGTTTTTATCAGCATGGAATTCTATCTACTTTTGCCAATTCTTCCCCCCCCCCAAAAAAAAAAACCTCCTTCAAGGCCCAGCCAAGAAGCCATACATCCTCATGAAAACTTCTAACCCCCAGGCCCCTATGGTCCCAGAATATGTTGCTTACAGGTCTACACAATACTTTTTCCATACTGCCTTGTATCGCTTCTTGAGTGTGGGATCCACATCACATTCAGCTTTAGATGTCTAACCTCACTGATCGAGTGCTTAACAAGCAGACAGTAAACCTGTGATTCTCAAATTTGTTAAAACTCAGATTGCTGGGTCCTACCCCCAGAGTTTCTGATTCAGCTGGTGCTGAGTGAAGCTTGAGAAATTGCATCTCTAATAATCTCAAGTGACGCTGTTGCTGCTGACCTAAAGACTGCACTTCGAGAACTACTGCAAGAGATGCTTGTGGAATGAATAAATGATTGCTATGGATAAAGATTTCCCATAAAAATCCCATCCCCAAGGGCTCCAAAAATGAGCTTTAAAATGATCAGGATAAAAGATAAGACATCACCAACATTTACTTCTAGATAAGAAGCAAAAATAGAAGCAGCAGAAAAAAGAATGGCAAAAAGATCAGGGAACCAGATGAGGGAAAACTAAAACTACCAGAGAGATTTTAGGGTCACCATCTGGCTTCCTGATAACATCTTACAATCAGACCAAAAATTAAAAGTAGGTCCATTTTTCTGACTCAACCATATATTTTAAAATATTTTGAGGAAGCACTTTGACTTAGTAAGCCCAAGACAGAGAATTTTTCATAATAAAATAATCAGAAATGATTGTCAAAATGGTACACAAGGAGAATCACCAAAGCCCTGTTTATAATAACCAGAAATTTGGAACAACTTAAATGTTTGGTAAAAGCAATTAGATTCAATAAATCATGGTATGTCCATAAAAGGAATACGATAAAGCCTTTTCAAATGTCTTTACAGGGGAATATTTATTGACACAGGAAGAGATGCATGATATAACAAATGGAAAAAAAAATCAAGCTAAAAACCAGTGTAAACAGTACGACCTAACACTGGATAAAACCCACATTTGGATATAGAGAAATAGATAAAAATACATTAATACATTTGGATAGAGAGCTATTTATCAAACTGGAAGTCAGAACAGAAATTATTTTTTAATTTTAACATTTCTATTTCAATTATTTCTGTAATAAACATGTATTGCTGTATAACTTCTTTATGGGATCTTTTTTTAAAAAATGATAGTCTGTGGGAGGTTTATACTCTCCATTTCCTCCCAGGAAGGACGAAAGGGTTGAATTGAAGCCTGAACATTTTTATAAGCTTTTCCCCACCCTGCCCTTTTACAAACACCAACACAATTTAGACTCCATTTGCAAAGCATCTGCTGCAGCAACCCTGGTTCTTGGTGCTTCCTGGACCTGTTTGGAGTTCATTCCCAACTCCAAGAGGCTAGCTTTGAAGAACTCTTCACACCGCCACCAAAGCAATTGGCTTTGGGGAAAGACATTTACAATATATCCACAGTTACTTGGTCACCCAGCAAACGGCCCTTTTTCAGAAACCACGGCTGTCTCACAGGCTGGCTTTCAATAAGATGGGTTGCTTAGCAACCGCCAAGGACTTGGGAAGACAGAATAAGGCATCCGCCAGAGATATTTTATGACCAAAATGAGCTGCACTCATGTGTCTGGTTGCGTTCAAGGTACCAAATAAGAGATAACGCCCGACTATTTTTTCATCATGAGGAAAAATACTTGGCTCCCGCCCAGGAAGGCAATTACCCAAAAGTCTTGGCAGGCCCCATGGTATGAGAAATGGTAACTGATACAGGGGTGAAAAAAAAAATCACTGACCTTCATAAATACTGATGATATGAGGATGGTTGAGGGATGACATGATCTCAATCTCTCGTCTGATGTGAACCATGTCTTGTTCATCCTTAATTTTGTCCTTACGAATGGATTTTATAGCAACCTATAAAGTCAGGAAATGAAATGTTACTCAGAGAACTAAACAGATGCAAATCAGCCATTGGAGGAGTTTGGAAAATAAATACAGATGTTACTTGTTGGCAGAACCGACAATAACCAAAACAAAGCTTCGAAATACCCCCTGTCATGTCTTTCATTTATAGCAAAAACGCCCTTCTCCTGGCAACAGAAAACATCAGGTTTTAACAGCCTGGGTTTGGGATGGTGGATTTTTTTTTTTTTCCATAAAGTGAAGGCTGCTTAACATGGCCAGATTCATTGACGCTAGGAATTATGATCCTTTGAAAAAACAAAAAAAGGTGACTTCAGCTTACAGGGTACTGATGATTAAACACAGCTAGGTGACATGGGTACCGCTCAGCTCCACTGCACAGCTGCCACAGCAGTGGCAAAAACACAAAAAATTATTTCGTGGCCAACCTCAAGGCCAGGTCTGCCTCAAACCTTGGCTTTTAAGACTCCAGCTTCTGCAGTGTTTATGCAATTGCTCAGAAGCCAAATCCTCCCGACATGATATCCTTCCTCTTGCCCAAGGCATCTTCAATAGCACGGGGTGTGACAAAAGGGCTCTGCTAGAGAAAAATCAGGGTGAAACAAAAGGGAGTGACAACTAGTCTCCCCTCCAGGCCCAGTCGGTTCCAAAAGCTCAGTGCCAATGTTGTCTGCAAATCCAAACTGCAGAGAACTGCCAGGGCCAACGCACAGAGCAATTACTCAAAAGAAACACACAAAGACAAAGGCATTAAATGACAATAGGAATCTAATAAGGAAAATATGTTTGCCAATGGATTCGTCTTTGCTCGTAAACAAGCTGGTTGGTAATTTAATCATCTTGGCTCTAAGGTCGGGAGGGGGATCCAGAGATAACAAGGAACCCTCCAACTGGTTGCTGCTGGCTCAGAAAGCCTGCTTAGTTCCCTTCCATGCTGGTCCTCCTGTGACCTCAACTGTCACGTGTGCCATGCTTTCCTAGAGGAAGGCAGCTCAACCACCCTTCTGGATCATAAAGGCAAAGAGTTAGCTGGAGAAAAACCTGTCCTTGTTACCAGCAACCCATGGCCACCCCTTGACCAGCACAGGGTCAACCACAGTCAGCCTCACAGGCATGCAGTCGCCTTTGGGAACACGCGCAACTTCTGCCTTGCACCAGCTCTCCACCGGGCACTATAAACGGAAACATTTCTAAAATATCATCAACCTAGGTATGATGCGACAAGAACTGGGAAGCTGTTACAATGTTGCTGCTGTGTGCTGACCTCCCAAAGGACAAGGTAAGCCCAGCTAGCAGCTCCCCGTGTTTCTCCTTTGCAGTCCTTCTCCCAGTTATAATTAGATTAGCATGTGTGTGTCTTTTAACTTGACCCTACCCTAGTCGGGATCTTATTCACTGCTTTATCTCCAGTCCTCAACACCTTGCTTGGCATATGGCAGACCCCAGAAAACGGTGTAGGCAGGCAGGCAGATAGACAGGGAAGGAGGGAAGGACGGAGGTCAGAGGGAGGGAGGGGTTGGTGTTATTAGGTGATGGGAGCCCAGACCAGAGAAGGGGTAGTGGAATTAGGGGAAAAAGAGAGGGACCACTCCAGTTAAATAATACTGCCTAGATAGGTATGATGACAGGGTGATTAAGGATTTCTTTAACATCTCTCTACATGGGTAATCAAGGAATGCAGTAGCCACATTCGAAACCCAGAATGCCCTGCTGCAACCCCACGGGCAGGCCCCACCCTCCCTTTGGCCATGGTGCCCTGCGGCTGGGCAGAAGGAGGCTGCACAGAGATGAATGAGCCTTGCAGCTTAAAAGGCCCCTTTTCACCACGGTGCCAGGCTCAGAGCTTCCCCAGGCCCTCACGAGAGCCCCATTCAGTATGTAGCAAGAAAAGCCTCCCTTTGCTTGCGTCAAATGCAAAGATAGGACTGGAAGGCTTTATTTTATCTGAGTAAGTCCTGCAATCCCGGGAGCTTGTCGTGGGAGGAAGCAGACAGTGCGCACGCACAGGCCGTGGAGGATGTGGGTGGCTGCTGGACCAACTCCTACATTCCTCCACAAGCTAAAGATGGGCCAAGGCTAGAAACCACCCCTTTGATTATGCAGCAAGCTGAACTTGGCCTTGAGGAGGCCCTATTGTCAAATTACAACAGGAATAAATTCTTTCACCGTCCAGGGTCAGGGAGGGCAGCGGCATTCTAAGGGGCAAGAAAACAAGCCCCCTTGTCAGCTCTCCCCTAACGGTCTAGCCAGGCGGATGGTCCCACGGCGCAGTCGCCAGGGGGACGCTTCCAGCCGGGGATGAAAAGGAAAGTGCCCACATTCTCGTAAAACCCCGCTCAGCACTGAGGAAACTAAAGGGGTTCCTTAAATGTTAATGACCGAGGTGGCTGTCCCTCCACAAAAGCTTCCCTCTCCCTGCAATGAATCCTCCACTGAAAATGTAGATGAGGGCTCGTTCTGCTCCCCTGTTTCAAAGTGGTGGTGAGGAGTCAGGAGGAGACAAATGCTAGAAATCACTTCGAGCTGTGCACCTGCCAAGGGCAGAGAGAAGACACTCAGTTCCACTCCCAGAGCAGCGGATGGCCCACCCGCGGGCGGGCAGACAGCCGGCCAATGGCAAACCAGGAAAACAACAACAATATTAATAATCAGCATTCATTAGCCACTAAAAATATGGTACAGACACAGTACTCAGTGGCTTTACAACACAGATCTTTGCATCCTTCTCATCATTCAAACTTCAGCTTCACGCCACCCTCCACCTAGGGAGACCTTATCAGCTGATAAGGCCACCTCCCTCTCTCTAAACCCTTCCCATTTTGTCTTCTTCTTCGGGGCATTTCACACCAACTGAAATTATCTTTCTTCTTCATTTGTTTGCTGCATGCTCAACCTATGTTCATGGGACTAAAGAGCTAGGAATGGTTGTCACATTTTTAAAGGGCTGTTAAGAAACAGGAAGGAAATCTGTAAGTGCAGCTCCTGTAAGAGTGCATGCTTCATGAATTTAAAGGATAAACTAAGCCAGTGCACAGACACTATTGCATAACAGTTAGGAACCTGGCTTTGCGTCCTGGCTAAAACTACTCTCTAGCCGTGTGACCTTAGTTCGTTCCTCATTCGTCAAGTAGAGAAATAATATTTCATGCCTAACTAGATGTCAGGTGCTTAAGAATATGCCTGGGCTGGGGCTCAATAAATATCAGCCAATTTGAACCCAGAGTAAGTGTCACATAAGTCAAACCTTCCTTTCTTCCTTTACTCCTCAGAGAAACTTTGAATTCCTCCTGGTTCCTGAAGGGACAATGAGTAGAAGTTCCCAAAGTACGGAAGGGACCAGAGAATCTCCATCTCGGGTCTTTAAATTATAACCTCATCTGAAACATCAGAAAGCTCAGAACAATTGGGCCCAACATTATCATCACGGCCCCTGGGTCCAAAACCAGGCAGGAGGATAAATACTTTAACCCAAAAAGCAACCCCAGTTTCATCTCCCCTTCTTCTTCTTAGGGCTGTCCCTGCTGCTGAACAGGGGGATAAAATGCTCCTACTTAGAGTCAAAAGTCAGCCTCAAGGATAACAACCACATCAGCCTTTATGGATTTTAACTGCTTATTCACTTATTCTTTTTGCACCCCTACTATGTACCAGGCTATACAAGGGCAAGCTGATATGGTTCTGCCCAGGCCTCAAGGTGGGAGGCAGGGTCAGGAAGGTACAGGCATGAGCAAAAGTTATACCAGCAATTACATAATCACCCTCGTGGCCAGAGGCTACCCAAGAACCGTACAGACATGCCTGGCACTAAGGAGGAAACCGCTTCTCCACTGCTCCTCAATTCTCACATCTACAAAGAAAAACAGAGGTAAGGAAAGGGCCCAGCAGGAAGAGATGACCAAATGTCTGAAATCACACACCCTCCGCCCCCAAAAATCCAATCTGTTCCTGCACGAGTCACAGAACACGAGCAGAGCCGGGCACTCAGGTGTCTGAGCCTGCCACGCAGTACAGCCACTTTCATAAACGTTCCCAAGTCTAGACGGCTCCGTGTGCCTTATAAAACAGTCTGCTTTCAAATGAAGGCCACCTTACAGTTTAATGTTTAAACCTTATGCGGCAGCCGGTTCGGTGGAGGAGCTGCGAAGCCTGCCCGGAGGATCCTGCCTGTTTCAGAGGTGACCTCGGCCCAGCCACCTCCCGTCCCTTGTTAAACGGAGCAGGCCCAGCCTCCTCTTTCAGGACAGCAGCTTTTCCTTTTTTTTGAATGGTCACCCGAAACCACCTGCCCCTTCGCCCGCTGGGCATCCTCTTCCACGGTGGCGGCTGCGGCTGTTGAGGCAGCAGGGTTGGGGGACGCAGAGTGGGAGGGTGAAAGCTCAGACTTGACTGGCTGGGTGACCCCAGGCAAGCCCCAAACCTCACAGGTCTCAGTTTCCTCATCTGGAAAATGGGGTTAGCAAGCCCTACTTCTTGGGGTTGTTGTGAGGAGTGGAAATATGCAGTAAAGTGCACAGCACACCAAACGGTGGTGACAACAAACCACACTTAAGGGGAATGAGGCCACAGTAAATCAGATTATAGGCCTCTCCCCTCCCATCACCCCCTCCCATGCACATCCTCCCCCTCCCCACATCTGCACAGCAGGGAGGCAAGAACGGGTTAAGGGGCTATGGACAGACATCTGTGCCGAGCAGGACCTGCTTTGAGGTGTGGGAGAGAATCTGGGCAGGCTGCATGTATTTGAGGCTCTAACCAAGACAATTCCTGTCCTCTTCCCTTCCCGTCCACCTCCCTCGAATGCTCATTCACTGACATATTCATCTTGCAGAGAATATTCTAGAACAGTGCCTCTGGAACAGGAGTCACCAGAGCATTTTGTTAAAATGCAGATTCTGAATTCATAGATCGGGGGTGGGCCCGGGATTCTGCATTTCTAGCAAGCTCCCAGGTGATGC